CTTTTAATCATTGTGAAATATTTTTTTGCTGATTTTACCCGTTGATGTAGACACCTTGCCGAACTACGTAAAATTTTATGTTGTTTATTTTTGTATTTGTACTTTGTTTAGTGACTGTGCATGATTTAAATAATGATTTCGCAGTATATTTTAAGTTGAATGTTTTTCTTTATAAGCTATACCTAATTTTTTTTTATTTTTAAGTATATTAAGATTGTCATTATATTTTGTTGACGTGCGATTTTAATCATGAGAGTATTTTTATAATTATTCTATTAATTAATGTGATGTGTATTCGGGGGACATAAAAAATCTTAGAAGTCTCTCTATATATAGGTTTAATAAATGAAGGCAGATAAAATAAAAAATGAGTAAAACAATTCATTATGCAGATATTAAGTTACCAGTTGAACTTTCTCAGATTTAGGTGCACATGAACCATGAGTGCTTGATTTTGTGCGAAGCTCTAAATTTGGAGTTGCTGAGAAAAGATTTTCAAGTTCTAGCATATCAATCTCTGGAGCCCTACATGGATATGTCATATTTAAGGTCCTGTAATGCATAAAAAGGTACAAAAAACAAAAAAATCACTAGACAAAGTTGAGGTTCTCTCTTAGCGCAATAGTGCATACGTGGATGCATCACCGGACTTTTGTGCTTCAGCCCATAAACTTCCTTGTACAGCTCTTGTTAATTTCAACCAATGCAATGGTTTTAATTTCTTGGTTTGATGACTCCTCGAATTAACAGCACGTAACATCCGTCCCTTTGTGGACATGGGAGAACTATATGGTGGTGGAGGAGATGGAGTTTTGTTACCAGCTTCAGAAGGAAGTGCAGAGGAATTGAGTGACATGGCAGGAGTCTGTGGTAATGGTGGTGGTACTGGGGATGAAGTAACAGGATCAGTGACTTTTCCAGAATGAAGAGGAGGGGGTGGTGGTGTAGGAGGTCCACCTCTAACAATTGCATTTTCCTTTTGAGGTGGAGTTGGAGGAGGAGGAGGAGTAGGAGGTGCAGCAGGAACTTTAGAGGAATTTGATGACACATTGGGGGTCGGGGGTGGGAACACTGATGAAGTACTAAAATTGGTGGTTTTCCCAGAAGGAAGAGGTGGCGGCGGAGGTGGAGGAGGTCTGGCTTGAACAGCTGGTTTCTGACTCAAAGGTGGTGTTGGAGGAGTTGATATTGGAGGAGCAGGGTTTGGTGGCGGCAGCAGAGATGGTGAAGTTAATTTGGACTCCGGCAGTTTAGGAGAAGATAATAAACCGTTTCTTGTGGTACTTAAAGACTGTACGGGAGGTGTCTGACTGTTTCCCGACAACCAACTCTGGTCGTGTGAACAGTTCTCAGACTCCTTGACGAGTGAAAGCTCAGATGATTTTGAAGATTCAGGATGTGTTGATGGTGGTGCTGGAAGAGGAAATGAGGATGTTGGTGGCAAATCTGAGACAATTTTAGTTTCAGGAGATTCAGTTCCTGATGAAGCAGTTATGGTTGAGTCCACCACTGCTAGAGCCACTTTCTCCCGATGGCTGAGTTCAGCATTTTTAAATGTGTCATGATCATGGAAAAGAGGTTTACCATGAGGAGCCTGGGTTGCACTATGATCCGTCAAGGCCACCAAAGATGAATCTTGCTTAGAACTACAAACAGGCTGCAGCCTTAGTTGGTCCATGATATCAGACCGACTAGATTGATATGCAGCACACAAATCTTGGGAGGTAGTCTTCTTGTTTAGGTCAGTATCTGAAGTTGTTCTTGGTGAGGGCACAGACTCAACCTTCAGTCCCGAAAACGGAGATAACTTTCCGCTATTTATAATATCTTGAATCCTTCTAGGACTTCTCTCCCGCAGTCTAGGGCTAGTTGCCACCTTCAGATCATGTTCAGAATCAGACTTTTCCTGGAGAATGTTTGTTACACTTAAATGTTGAAGCATATTAAGTGCAACATCTGCCTTATGATCTAACCAATCAACTTGGCTAAATATCTCGTGAACTTTGGCAAATGCTTCAATAGGAAGACCTTCTTTCTCCTCCAAATATGGAAAATTAACTGCAGCAACAGCTGAAGCATCATCCATCTCTGAGAAAATAAGCTTTATCCAGAAAGTAAAGTTTTCATTAGAGAGACAGCACCACAAACCACCTTGTGAAATCAAATAAGACATGGTCACATAGACATACCTCAGCTCTGAAGTTCTTTGGAAATTGTTCTCTAGCATCCCATAACGTGTCAATTTCATCACGGTTTAGCATCAAAATGTTTGATCTAATAAAAGCTGTGTTGAACACAATCCGGAACATCATCGTTTCTCTTTCCATATCATCATTCAAGTTGAGGCATTCGACCACAACATCACCTTGAATATGGCAGTTGATATCAATCTTAACTAGTTCACATTCTACCTGCAATTAAATGGTAAGCATTCCAAATAATCACATTGTTATGACATTGAAACAACTTGAGTGAGCATATAAAAGAAACTATAGCAAAAAAGGAATTTGTCCACCATAAAGAAATATGCGAGGGCATTAAAATATATAAAAAAACTGTCTCTGACCAGGCTGTAAGTCCCAGTGTCCAAATTAAAGATAACAAGCTCAATCTCAATGATAATCCTGCTATCTCCTCTATAGCAGAGAGTCTTTGGATATTACTGATGGTATGATTAGTTGAAAAAAGAAAATTATGTTCCAGTTGATAAAAATATTCAAGTCAATGGCCAAGACCAGAAAGCCCTTTAAATCTTTACATGGCTCTACGCTCTTCCATTTTCTACCTACAAATACATTCACTACACTCACTGTCTATTTTTATACAGTGATAAAGTGTTTTCTCCTTTGTCTTGGAAAATGTTGCAGACAGAATAATGTGTATACAATTTTACTCATGAGACATGAGCCAATAAAATGCAGTTTGAATTTGTTGAACAGATTAATCAGTTATCTGCTTGCCCTTGGAAGTTCAGGGCTAATGGGATAGAAAAAGTTATAATAAGTTTGAAAGGTTTTAAGCATCAATAAGGATGGCAGGTTATCTCATGGACCACCATGATTTACAATGTACAATTTGATTCAATGCAAAAGCAACCAATCCCAAATTGTGTGGCATAGATCCATGTAGTACGTTTATTTTGATTTAATATCAGCCTTAAAAATGTAGTTTTAGGATCAGAAAGATTAAAAGCAACAATAAATCGCATCCAATATCGATGTTAAAAAATTTGCTCCTTTATTTAAGAAAAATGTTGCTGAAAGAATGTCCTATTTATGAGGTCTTACTCATAAGATATGAAGTAAATGAAGTGCAATTTGAATACATTGAACAATAAATTTTATCTGCATGCCTTGACAGTTCAAGGACCCATTAAACAGGTAATTCAGAAGTAAATTCTGTTATGTTAATGAGGTGCAATTTGATGTAATGAAAAAGCAAGTAACATCAAACAGTATTTGACACAAATTCACAGGTTATTTATGCACTCAATTTCCTTACTTGCCTCAATTAATGCATGGATTATTTACATATGAAAAACAAAATAAGTGGCAAAAGCTAAATTATATATCCAACACCTGCTTATAGAGTCGGACAGATTTGCTCTTCTTTGGGGATGAGTACAAAATGTTGGGAGTTCCTTCAGCTGTTAGAAAATGATCCTGTCCATATATCCGAAAAAATGGACGACAACCCCCCTGCCCATCAAAATCAGGAATAAGCCTCAGAATGACACAATCCAAAGTGAGAGCTCGATCCACTGGAGGCCACTCTGAGACCACATTCCTCCTCAAGATGTACTGGAGATAACGTATCTGAGAAGGGATTGGATTAGAGGCGACAACA